CCTACCAGACACAAAAGATCAGGGATGGAAACTCCATGCAGCAGGAAATATTGGACAAAATATGCTTATACTCATCCTAAGTAACTTATTCCTGGAATTGATCAAAGACCGTCATTGCATAAAGCAATTGTACAGCATACACAGCCAGCAGGCATAACAGTTTGATGCAGATAACCTTTCAGTGTGTAGTGTAACCCTTAACCTCAGTTTTGAGCTGTGAATAGGAGGCAGAGGCATTGCCATTCTGTTACTAGATATGAAAGAACCACTTCCCTCTGATATTAAAGAAGGTGAAACCATTCATGATGATATATGAATCATTTGGGAAACTGGCATTAAGACTGTTAGGATAGACTCAAAGCTGCTAACAAAGCTTTGAAAAGGCTTGTTTCTTCCATTGTATTTGCAGCACAGAGTTTTCCGTGTGTGTTTTTGTGTGTGCACCTGTGGACAGAAAGAGCTAGACTGACCCTGACCTGTTGGAACAGCTAACTCCTAGGGAAAGGGGCAGGTTGTTCTCAGAACCTAGTTTTCTGAGAAACTAGGCTGCCTGGTCAAAGGCACCTGAGGTATTATTTTTTAGTCAGCGTTGTCTTGGGCTCTCAGCACCACCTTTTGTAATGGCATCATCACTGATCACGCAGGTACCCTGATACCACAAATTATTTTGATTGCCACTGTGACTTTGTTATGAAGGTCTTTTTCATTTTATAGACAGTAAGCTGTGGACATCCCCACATCACAGGAGAAACTGATCACTCAGTGGGAGGTGTCAGGGAACCCAGAAAGTAGGGATTTTTCAAAAATATTCTTTTGCAGGAAAGCAAGTCTTGTCTTCTAGCACCGATTTCTCATCCTAATGTTAAGCAACCTTTGGGTGCAAATGTGTTCATCTACAAAGGGTACAAATTATCTTCTCCCAGCTTCATCGCTGAATGGGAGACAGTGATTCCACTTGTGTTTCTGTCATTATGGACTAGAGCAGGGTACTTTGACTAGCAAGACCCTTGACATAGTTTCCTATGTTTCCCTCACCAGACTGGTGAATTATGGGCTGATTAGCTGGGAGATAAGAGAAATGCAAAACTGGGCTTCTGGGCTCAAAGGGTTGTGCAAGTGTTCCAGCTGGCAGCCACTTGAGTCCCTCAGAGACCAGCTGGTGCTAATGCAGTTTAATGTCTTCATTGATGATCTGGATGATGGGATAAAGTGTGCTCTTAGCAGGTTAGTGGACACCACCAAATTGGAGGAGATTGGTTAATATCCTGGAGGGCAGGGCTGCTTTTCAGAGGTACATGGATGGCTGAAGAAGTAGGCTGATGGGAGCTTCGTAAAGGTAAACAGAAATAAATGTGAAGAAGTAGTTCAACTCCGTGCAATAGAGCAGACTGTCTGGAGAGGACTTTCTATGGGGAAGCTGCTCTGCAGGAGGGGCCCTGGGTGTCCTGGTGGACAAGAAGATGAATGTGAGCCAGCAAAGAGATCTTAAAATAAAGTTGGTAAAAAACTGGCATGTGTTGCCTAGAATTATGATTTCCACCCTTGAAGATCTGCTGGACATGACCTGAGAAACCAGATCTAGCTAGACTCAGATCTCTGTATTAGACTAGAAACCCCCATAAGTTGCTTCCTACCTCTGCTGTGCTGTTCTATGACGAGAGCAAAGGTATAGACAACATCTGTAGAGGATCATTTGTGGCAGTCTTTGATACCAAACGTACATTAGAAAGTAAGGACATGAACCTCTCATGTAAATTACATTTTGACATTATGGGCATGGTATTGCCCCATAATAGCAGTAGCAAGCAATGTGCTGTTGGATAGTGGAAAACTGTATGCAGGGAGACCTTGAGGACCACAAGGTAAGTGAAGCATGGGGTTGGGCGCACAATATGCGCACAGTTATTGCAGTGGAGTTCAAATAAGCACATAGAATGCACAGTTGGCTGATGTAAGTTTTCTTCTGATGAAAATTCAGTGAGAAATGGAAGAATGTATAGGCTTCCTGGCACTGAAAACATTTCAGATTTGCATATGGACAATCAAGTATTAGAAAAAAATGACTTGCTGAAGGCTGTCAGAGAATATGGAAATCTGCACTTTCTGATCTGATGTACTAGCAATACTAGTACTAGCAGTATTGATATACTGCAGTGGTATCCACCAATACACTTTGTGCTCTGCTGCAATAGGAAAGGGGAGTGATGGGCACAAAGCTTGAAACAGAGATAAATGACATGAATGCAAGAGGCAAGAGTTATGTTTACATTTGAATTCCAAGTGTTCAACTATAATAAAGTGCTCAGTAATGTTTGTATGTGTTTGTTTTCATAAGCAATTTCATCAAAAGAAGTCCCTTCAAATCAGCTCTCCCCACATCTGGATTAACAGTGAAATGAAAACACTTACAGTGTATTTTGTATAGCAAGAGAAAGGAAGGTTCTGAATTTCAATTGCATATGATTTATACAAGTGCATTTTATTGTATTTCAACAACAATTTCTGGAATTTCAAGCTTAAGAATGACCTTGTTCATTTCACAGTCCTTGTCCTTCCTTAACAACTTTCTGAATACACTTATGCATGCTTCAAGCTTTCCTCTTCAACCTGTTTCTTTTTAGATTATTTGCTTTTCTGTGTTTCTAGCAGTAGTTGAAAAAGAATAAAGGAAAAGCATCTCCTGTAGATTTTCCTTTGGAATATCTGCATCCAAGTATTCATTCATAACTGCAATATGAATGCAAATGCTCCTCACTTCTAACCTCTGTGCTGATCTTTTATGTCTTCAGAATTTTGGTGGCAAAATCTAGAGAAAGGGATGCTAATTCTGAGGACCTGCAGGCCAGCCTGCTTTGACTGTGGGACTGTGGTCCAGCACACTGCCATTCCTTTTGGTGACAGAACAGCCTTGATGGCAAACAGGGCTGAACATGAGGCAACGCTGCAAACAGCAATGTTAACTTTGACCAGAGGTGGTTCACCCCTGAGGATGTGGGGTCATCACCACCTCAAGTTTTTTGCTTTCTGTAGCCACTGGCTTTCTGCTGTGGACGAGCGGCTGCACACGTGCCAGCAGTGAGCCCTGCACCACAGCCCCAGGGGAAGTCACTGCACCTGCACTGCAGTCTCTGTGGTGGGGAAATCCCCACCAGCTGAAGCCCACCGCTGGCCGCAGAGAGATTGGCCTTCTTGGCTTCATCTCTACAGTTCCAGGCTGGTTTTGCATCTTTCTGTATGCTTTATGACTGCAAGGAAGAGCAGGCTCTCAGCTACCTCTGAAAGAAAGACTTGAGGATCTTGTAGTCCCTCTCAATCACAGAAGAAAGTTTATAAAAATGAATAGGGACTTGACACCACTGAGCAAATGGTAGAGAGGAACAAAACCCCATCCACTCGCTTCTTTTCTGAGTCTCTGGGATGTTGCAAAGATTCCTCAAAAGCAGCTCAGTTCTCCTGCAGATCCTAGAATTGGAACAGGTTTAAAAAGAAATACATATGTCTATCTACATATAAATTATACAGATTAGTCAGCATGAAAGCCAACCAGAGAACTGTTTATGCTCAGACAGCGTAATCCAAGATCAGTGTGATTAAGACGACCACTGAGAGCTGAAAGGAGGTTGGTACGCGTCATGTCAAAAACACATTTTTTTCCTTTGTGGTACAAAATTTCCTCTTTTTCTCGGAATAGCTTGAGAGAGCGGAAGTTTCTCACTTTGAGATCTAATCTGCTCTGCCGTCACAGGAGGTTACAGATGCGTTGAATAAGCCTTCAGTTGATACATTTATCTCAACAAGAAGCCCTTTGGACAAAGTCTTGCTAGTTAGAGGCTGAAGCAGTTAAACAAAAGCTTAAGCTCATGGTTAATGACTAGTTAACCTCAGATGGTAGTTAACCTCCTGCCATCAGTCTAAGTTTGTGCAGGGTTTGACTCTGTAAAAAAAGAACAGCTGTTGGGTGTTTTGCTCTGTAGGTGCCTCACCTGTCTCTTTGTAACCAGTTAAGGAGACCTATTCTCGTTTGCAAACTCATGGAAATAAACGTTCCTCGGAGCACGTCATTGCACATCTCTGGCCAATCTGGTGGTTAGTCCTTGATCCAGCTAGCTTATAGCTGTGTCAGAATCATGTTTACATACACCTGAAGGTATTTTTTACACGTTCAGTATTTTCACAGATGTCTAGAGAAGGAGTGGAAGACTAAGCATTATTTTCAGCAGTACTTCTCTAAGATGAAGAGATGGCAGAAGCTAATCCAACAACATTATTTCAGGAAAATTTATTCAAATCATATTAAGTCAGCACAGTGTGTGATGACACAATAAAGGTTAGAAACACTTAAGAGAAAATACAGCTGCCTGATGCAATCTGTCACAAATTTCATCCCTTGAAAGGCCTGTTCATTTCCAGGTACACCTGGAAACGTGGGGTAATTGCTGCTAAATAATGACAACTGTTGACAGCCAAAGCATAAAAGGAGACTTAAAAACAGAACCAAATCAAGCAGCTCCCAAGCTTGTTTATTCTGCTAAGCCAAGTTTATTTGCACCAAGTCTTTGAAATTTATGCAATTTTCTAAAATTAATGTTTTTATACTGTAACCCTCAAAGCAGATCTGTCTATTAGGACTCTGACAGCAGTACCCTTGTGAGGAGTCAGGAAACTGCAGAAAGCATTGCCCATGGGGAAAAAAAAGGATAAGAATTTTCCACTTGTTTACAGTTTCTTTAGAAGTACTCTTCTGGGGTGGAACTTTCCGTGTTTCATCTCTTGTGAAAGTGATTTAAATTGTCAGGAGTCTGTGGAAACTTTTTAGCATGAATGCAAAATGCTTTAAATTATGAAAATGGTGTGACTAATTGGTGAGCAGGAAGTTTCTGTATTGATTTGATACCAAGATGATTACATGATAAAAATGCTCAGTGGATTTGCCATTTACTGTGCTGGTGTTAGAACAGAGAAATCTTTAAAATGTAATGACCACATTAAAAATCAAGCAGTTTTTAAAGGGCTCAAATGTATGATTTTGTTTATTTTTGAAGGAAGAAGACAGGCGGATGTAATGTGTATTCCAGTGCAAAATATCGTGGGAGATGACAATTAAATCCCATATAAAAGACAACAGTGCATGATAACCACGTTAGCTTCTGCGTTCTGTACACAAACAAAAATACCCAGTGAACAAGCTTGACATCACACACAAAAGGCAAGAGTTACACAAAAAAACAATAACAAAAGCATAGCATTGAAACCACTGTGTTTGTTTGTTTGTTTTTTGTTGTTCCGAGCTTGCATTGTCTTCAGAATGCTTGGAAAGAAATGAGAACAGTTGTGAAAATTACAATATACAAATTGGCAGCGCGTGAGGAATTCAGATGGCTACACTCTCTAGAAGATGACAAACACAAAGAGCTTGATTCAGACTGACACGACAGTGCTTTTGTTCATCCAGGATAAAATGTAAGACAGCCCCTTCAGAGACCATTTTGGAGAAGAATAGCATTAAAAGGCTTTAATACTAACAGGAATTAGGTTAGTACTTTTCAAAGTAGGATGTGAATGCATCCAGTTTTTTATTATGATGGTACATCAATGCAAATATTTTCTGTACAAATCTCAGCAAAACCCATCTGAAAAAAGAGACAATACGATTAATCAGTCTTTTAAAAATAAATATATACAGTATTTACATTTTGGAGAGTTCCACAGCTTGATATTTAGACAATGTATCGCTATCCAAAACAATTCCCTATCATTATACAAAATGCATTTGCTGTACAAATATATATAAATATATATGCATGAACTTTTTCAGTGAAATGTCGGTGGATTCATTGAAAAGCATGAGATACTGTTATTATCAGCTAAGATTTAGTTCTCAAATGTCCGCATATTAAGCAGTCTAGAGCATTATATATCAGACAGAAGTAGATTTTCAGTGTTGAGAAATATTTTGTGTTCTGCTTCTGTACCAGCAAATCAACTTCACTTATCTGATTGTCTTTTCTGAGCATCTGCAGAAACTGCTTAACAGAATCAGTTTGACTCAGTGATTGTTATTGACTGCACCATGTCAGACAGGGTTTCTGGGTCTACTTCTTCTTTACCATTATCTGAATTTTCTGATGAGATGTAACAGCCGGAATCTCTTGGGCAGTCATTTAACTGTGATTTGTCAAAACTGTGCTGAGGGCTTAAGCTCCGTGTCTCCTGACCACCCTCGCTTATCTGCTCTTGTTCATCTGGAAAGAACAAAATAAGAAAGAAAGCAGCGTCAGAATAAGTATCCTGTAAAACAGTTTGAGACAGCAGTGTGGCTGATCTTGAAGAACCATAGAAACAGAGTTAGTAGTATACACACACTAGATCAATATCTTCTGTCTACTGGAAACAGAAAACAGCATTAAAGAACTAAAAATGTGATGACACAAGCACCTGAGTTGCTGTTGAGGTTGACTTTGATCCTGTGCTATGCTGCTCAGATGTGAATGCCTGAGGCTTTGCCCGCATCCTTCAGGCTGTGCCCAGGTGCGCCAGTCACCATGCACAGTCTGAAGGTGTGTGGCAATTGGATCTTCAAAAGCACTTGACTTCTCAATGGGAATGGATGGCTGATAGGAACTTCCTAGAAATTTCGTTTTTGGTGTCCAAAAAGATATTTTCCAAAACACAAAGTCCTCAGAGAAATCCAAGATACTTAATTCTTGCTGCATGTTTTTTGAACACTGTCCCAAAACTAAGTAGAAGCAGATAAACGTGCAAATAATTTGTCCTTGTTTAACTGCTGCATGTCTAATCTGCTGAGACACAACAATCTGCTCCTCAGGAAGAGCTCAGTGAGCCGGCATTTTGTGGGCAGGATATCCCTGTATGTCATGTATCAAATGTATCTCGTGGTTAAAATTCACGCTCATATCTTCTGTAAAACACGTGATGTTCAGTCACAGTAAATTTCTTCAGAAAACAAGCTATAAAATGTTACATCTCTCTCTCCCATTCTCTTTCATTCCCTATGGCTCTCCTGTAACTGTGTTTTTATTTCAAGCTGTGTCTTACTTTCCAATCAAAGAAAGAGAACCAGGTAATACAGGAATAGATTGCTTCACCTCAGATTTCAAGCCTCAAGAAAATGGTACCTTTTTTATTTGGGGGAAAAAAAAAAAAAGGTCTTTTATTTCAGCCAACTTGTTCCTTCATGGCTATGCAGTTAGTTTTGAATCTTTGGTCAAATTTAAGTTGTTTCAATTCAAGTGCAGGCAGTATGGAAGTCCTAGCTGAGGAAGGAATTTATCCCTCCTGAAAATCTAAATCTAGTTCATTTCCAGGATAACAGCCTAAAATTATTACATTTCTGAAAGGAAAGTGTCTAAACATTCGTTTAAACTGTTAGTAATTATAACATGAGAAGGGTTTTCACTGTGATTTGTTTGTTTTAAATATTACGTAATTAAGAACAAATTAGAAATTAAAAAAAATTAAAACCTGCTCCAAAAATGTTGAAATGGAATAGATGGGGCCTTTCTTTGTCGTGTCCATGAGATCCCAGAGAAATCATTTTACAAGGCATTCTGATATATTTGAGAACACTTGCAGGTCCTCATGAACCCACTCTGGTAGATTTGTTAGGACTTATCAATTCTATTTAATATTTTCTACATTTTAATTACCTAATTAAGTTAATAAACTAATCCAAATTTTGAAGAAGTGAATCCAAAGTCTCAATGTAGTCATTTTTGCATTAAGTCTGAGGTTACAGCATAGCCTTATGTATTTTAAAAAATGATTTCTGATTGCTTTAAATATTTTCCAAGGAATAAAAGTCCTACTTTCTCCCCACATAAATTAATGGTTAATTGCACTTGCACGTACAAGTACACATTTCAGCAAATTCAATAGATGTCTGTAACTATTTGATCTCCTTCTCCCCGTAGGGACCGTAGCCCACCACATCAAATGCTACCTATCTTTGTAGGGAAAATACGTGATGAGATAGGCCCCGGCCGATTTCTGATTTAAGTCAGAAAAGAATTACAAAATGAATTACACCACTGAAGGTATTACTGCTGCTATTAGTAGCAACACCAACAGTTTAGCACAAACAACAGCAGATGCCCCACTAAAGCCCTTCTAAACTGTGTCATTAGCCCCTTGCTCCCATTCCACCATTGCCAATAGGTCCCAGGCCGCGGTCACCGTGGGCTGACAGAGCTCAGGTGGTGGCTGCAGGCAGGGCTCCCCTTCCCCCTGCTGTAATCCCCGATCAGCCCTAATGCTGCTTGCTAGGACTTTTATCAGCTTCTGGGGCATCATCTGCTGCCCTGGAAAGCAGTGACCTAAAAAGAGTTAATCCTGTTTACATTTTCAAGGTCAAAGTGGAATCTCCATTCACTTTGTTTGTTTCGCAGTGGAAAAGAAGACCAAGTAACTCGTCTGCTGCTGTCAGTATATTAGTAGCCTGCAAGGAGCTGCAGTCATCTAAGTAGTTTCCTACATGAAGAACAGATTCTGTCTTATTTTTTAGCAATGCTTTTCCTTCTGCGGTCCAGGGAAAAAGACAGAGGCTTCATATGGAACTTAGATTTTTTAAAATCTAAGTTTAAATAATATTCAGGAGAATGTACATTTAAGAAACATGCAGGCATGTAAAACTTCTGTCTCCTCCCAAAATACTATCAGATTTTTTTTTAACATCAAAAACTGAAAACCAAAAATGTTCAGGTGTTTGAGAAAGTGAAAATGTTGTATTTTTGCTTTTCATCACACACAGAAAATGTTGAAGAAAAAGAACATATTTCAGAAGAAAGGACTGAAATCACTCTTCAGCTTTTTTCTTGGCTTTTCATTCTTTTAATGACTGGACTTAAATATAGCATAGCAACTGCTAAACAACTAAAAAGGATACTGAGTGTTATAAATATGTGTAGCATACAGCTTTAGGTGTTCTGAGAAAAACAGCTGCTTTTGGCTTCTACATTCAGTTCTATTTAACTCCTTTCCCTAGCAAATACGTGCTCAAGTCCCACGCTAGTAAAGGTAAGTTTACTGTCTTAATCATTTGGACATCAGAAAAAAGATATAATGCACAGGAAACGGGAATTGATAAAATTAAACTGCCGTTAAAAGCTGCAGAATCATCAGAAACCACTACCTTATCAACAAATGGAAGCCCTGGTATTTTTCTACAGTAAAGCAGTTTCATAGAAGATAAGTAGCTTTCAGTCACTGTTATCAATGATATTTTACAAAAGTGTCCAAAATATGCATCATTTTGATACGTATTTTCTAATACTGCTTCTGACTGCAGGATTATATGCAGACTCGTGAAAAAAATGTTAGGGCTCTAGACTTGATAATGAACACGTGACACATGTGTATCTTCCTTGCTATTAAGATTTTGGAAATTAACATCTACTATCCAGTGGCACAGCAGTGTATGACAACAATTTCCCTTTTCCTTCATCAGCTTTTCCCACTTCTTAAAATCAGGTTAGAGTCCTGGTTCTGAAAGCACTTTAAGCTTAGAAGTCAATGCTGCTCAAGAATATATTGAGGTCACACTAACTCCAGTGCCATTATTATGTCAGTTTAAACCAGATGAGTGGTGGGAGGCTTAGATTTTGTCTTGGAGAAATAAGAAGGTCAGCCTGCATTAAGCTGTATTTCATGGCCATGCCCTCTGAGAGTTTGCATTTATGAGCTTAGCCCAGAAGGTGAAAAGGGCTATGAGCACGATACTTCAGGTTGAGTTGCCTTCCTGGATGGTGCAGTAGTGACCTATTGGGCAGCACAACAGAATAACTAGAATGATACATTTCATTAAGGCAGAAGTTAGACCTCCTAGTGAGATATGAAGAACACATACCAACCTGCAAAGCCTGTGACACTGAGACCACTCGATGTTAGGATGAAACAAAAACTAATAAAGCACCAAACTCAGAAAGGATCGTTTTAAAGTAGTAAGTGTACCTGAAGGACGGAAATGTGAAGCGGGACTGTATACACATGCAATACTTCAGAGAATCAAGGGAATTAACCTTTGGTGGGTAATTACGGACAAACAAGGTGAAAAGAACCACCTCGTGAGTCAGTGTCACATCCAGGAGTTGGATTTTATGACTTTTGGGGGCTCCTTCCAACAGGCTACTCTATGACTTTGTGATTTATGATGATTCCCTGCTTTCAGTAGCAGGGGTTGCTCTGGCATCAGTTGGCCCTTCTCTTCTCACTGGCAAAGATTCTGCAGCATTCAGAGTACAAGTGGGAGGGATACTGAACTGATATGAGGGGAGAGCCTATGGTGAAAACAGAGGTGAGAAGCTTCTTTTCCTCTAAATTCAGGAATCAAACAGACGTGTCTGGAAAAAGGTGAAAAACACTAATATTCATACAAGGCTGCTTCTCCTGGGAAAATCTAAGGTCTTCATGTAAGGAAAGCAGCTGAGAACTGAATGTTGTGTTACCAGCTAACTTGCTGTTCAAATACAATAAATAAGAAACAATTCTTATATGACACTGGCAGCGGGATCTGGATCAGAGACTTAAAATTGAAAAGGACAATATGGAGGTGGATTTGGGGAGATAAGAGTAAAATAATTATCTCCAAGATTGCATGTACATATCTTTTTTTTTCTTTCTATATATGAACAGTATGTATATATCCAAAGGAATCAAGTCTATTTTACACACACAAAAATGTGCGTCTCGGGAAGCAGTCAAGAAAAGAAAAAGTTGCAAACTTCTTTTATTACTTTATTCATTAACCATTCAGCAACTGCTTCACTTTAAAAATAGCATCCTACAAAAGCACAGACATCCATCTCCTGTCTAGAAGCCATCTGGGAGAAGAATGAAAAGCTATTAAGAAATACTTTATGAAAAAGAACTTTTTTTTTTCTTCTCCAGACATGAATTCATGGAAGCCAACCACTTTGTGCCAAATATATAAGGTCTGATCAACTTATGGCAGATCTAAAAAGAGATCTGTGGGGGTGGGGGAAGGTCAAGAGAAGCTCAAAAGACCTTGCAGTTTTACAGTAATCTTGCTATATGACATACTTGAAGATGGTAAATTTGGTTCTTGTCTCATAGGAAAGGTAAAAAGCAGGCAGTGCAGTATCAGAAGAAAAAAACTGTTTTAAAAACAGAGTAGTAGCATTTTCTAAATAAAAGTCAGTTTTTAACTCCTGTTGTGAGGTGAGCAAATTTATTACTCTCAAATTCATTTGGATCTAAACCAAATGTAAGATGAAAAATTCTTACTGCCCAGAATAGTGTGTTTTGAACAGTCTTAAGAAGCACATAATATGGAAACTATTTGTGCAAGTACTGTTGCTGGAAAACACAGTAACTTTATTCTGCAATATGAATTCTACAGTTCCAAGCATACAACATAAGGAAACTACTTAGTATAACATACAATAAATGTCAAGAAAAATAAAAAAAAGACAAAAAAGGAAAAAAAATGAATAGGCCTGTAAAAACAACTGTCTATTTTCACTACATCAGGTATTGCATTGAAGAAATACTAAATCATGTTTGATTACATTTATAATAGAATCAGGAAAAATGAGGCTACATTCCTCCATACTTAGCCTTCATGAATAGTAATAGAGTCACAAAAACTCATAAACCTTGCATTTCAAATCTGGAGTGTACCTTCATGGATGAGATTCCATCCATGAATTAAACACATGCTTCATGGAAGCATAGATACAGTCCAAAGACATGGAACTGTTCCAAGCTCTGTGAGTAAGATGGGATTAGGATAGTAATAATAATTCTAAGGTCATAGATCATATGATCTTATGATCTATGATGACCTTAGAATTATTATTATTTTCTTAAACAAAGCTCATTAGAAAAATCAACTTTTGCCTGGAAAAGTGCAGAACTTCTATCCAGAACACTCTAGGCCAGTAAACAGATTACCTTGTAGCTGTGGGTAATTATGCTGCTCACTTCTAAGCAGTGCAGAAAATCAATTTTAATTAAGAAATCATTTATGCTGGACTCAGTCATGCCCATTTAGGAAAAAAAATATTGACCTAGGAAAGTTCAGTTCAGATGCAGAATTCACTTTCACAGTAACACTCAGCTCTTTCAACTCAATTTTCCAATTGGACTGACAGAAGCACAAAGAGGTCAAATGATTTGGACAAGGTCAGACACATGCTGAGCTTTTGCCCAAGATCATCTTGACTCTCCATCTTTCATTATAACTACCTGACAGATGGCTTCCATCAACTTTAGTCTTTAATATCTTCTTTTTTTAGAGCAAGCTGTTGATTGTTGTTGTTGTTTGTTTGCTTGCTGGAGAAAAGTGACTTAATCCCATGCTCCCAATTTGTAAGAACTCTATTTTGATAACTAAGGTAAATTTGCTAACGTTCAATGTACAGGATACATAAGGACGTTCTAAAATGTGCTCCTTGCATGACTGTATGTAGAATATTAAATGGTTAAGACATTTTCAAAAGAGGAAAACTTTGGTGTCATCTTTTAAAAATGCAACGTGCCTGCTTGCAATACTTTTTGCTCTACAGGGAGTATAAATAGTAAACCACATCCTGAGAGTCCCAGAATAGTTTAACACTTTGGTTGTCTGTTAAAAATCATATGTTTTGTTTTTGTTTTTCACACTGATCCAGAACTGTGTAAATTCACAAATGAGCATTTTTCTGTAATTCTTCTTGTTAAACACTGATATAGAAACACCTGCAGTAAAAGGTGCAGAAAATGTGGTAAAGCTGCAACTAACAAGAAGTACATACTATTCAAGGGCAAACTAAGGAAATTAATGTATTTTTACATGATTTCCAGCTCAACCTCTGCAACACAATACTTGGGAAATTTAACCTTTTCTTTCTCACATTCATTCTATCAAAGCCTCTATGTAGACAGACCTTCAAGAGTTCTCTTCTAGCCACACGTCTCACAAAGCTATAGACCAGAAAGTAGTACTGATCCTGCTGGGCAAAGAACACCATTTAAATGCTTCTCAAATGTTTTTTCAATAAACTTATATTTCTGTGGATGCTGAAATATGACGTAGAAATGGGGAACAGAAAGACCTCAATGTAGAATGAAAAACATGGTCAGCAAAGAAACCAAGAAAATTAGAGAAAATCTATGAGGGAAGTTGAATGGATGAGGCAGCCAGAAGTATTCTTAGAAATTCAGAAAGATTAATGTACAGAAGAATTTGAATATATCTGTGTCTTCAGGTATGTACACATGTATTGCACATGTTCTGGAGTGAGAAATGGAAAGCCACCAATACTGAGGACAGAAAAACCAAGCAGTAAACAAGAACTAATATTAAAACATCCCAGGAAGGAAAGATATCCTTTTTTCCTCTTTCAGATGCTTCTCAGTTGAGAAGAACATAGGATAAAAGAACTGCTCATGATGGAGGTGAGTATGCACAAAGATTAAGAAAACATCTTTTTTGGCTGAGTATCTAGTTAAGCTGAAGTTTCGAGCCATTGTCATAAATTCTTTATTGTACTTATTCTTGTTAAGTACTAAACTCAGAGTTTGGAAAGTTTGATTTTCTGCAGTTGCAGAGATCTTTTGACTTTGGGGAAATCATTTAACCTCTCTTGGTTTGGGTTTCCCCATTAGAAAAAGAATTGCTTTCAAGCAGCAGTTGCTGTCAACCTTTAGATTAGGACCTATGGAAAATCTTAAATCATTTATGTGTTACTAGGATAGCAATCATGTATATATCTAGAAGAGATGTAGTTATCCATCAGGACAAATAAGGAAACTATTCAACTCGATTTTTCACATTTAAAAGAAAAATCATTAAATAGATCAATGTGAGAATCACTATTTCTTTGTCTTTCTTCAGATAAAATGGGCACATGACTCTTAATGCTTAAACACTTACTGTCATTGTCCTGTAGATTTTCAATGGCTGATAACAATCTTGCCCTGTCCTCTGGGTTTGAAATATTCAATTCAATCAGGTGACTCTCGTGTAGATCTTTTAAATCCTCAAGAGTTTCATAGCCATTTAGCAAGAGAGTTGAGGTGTATTCCTACAAAAAGAAATGAGCAAATCCATCACTTAAACAAGCACTATGTTTAGTAGACGAATAGGCACAATTTTTCTTTTCCTCTTCATCAGGTTGAAATGGGCTCTACTTTTCAGCCAGTTGAAAATGTCTTTCGAACAAAATTAGAGATTGAGAGTGAGAGGACAGAGGCAGAGAGGTCTTGAGATCCTCTTGGCCATCCTTCACCTGCATCTGAGTTATCTACCAGAGCCTGGCAGCAGATTGGATCAAGATACGGTCTGGACCTAGGGAGCCACTGAGGGAGAAAGGCGCAACCAAAGCATAGTGCAAAAAAAAAACCTACTGCTCCCACAGTTCATGCAAAATTGGAAACTTAAATTCTAAACATTAGCAGCTGAGTTGCACTGCAGTTCTGCCCAAGATTTCCACATAGTCACACGTCTCCTGCCCTAAGGCACACAGTCACAGGCAAGTTAATGATGATTTAGCAAGTCATCATTGTGTCTCTCTGCGTGGAGTATTTTAGCTTCACAAAATCTTGTGATAAAATGTAGTTATATATGCCACATGTCAGAGACAAAGCTTCTTTGCATGGCTGCCTGAAAAACTGCTGAAATCCGCCATTCCCATTCTACTTCTGCCTGTAAATTACATCCAACCCAAGCGCACAGAAATTAAAGATTTCAGATACAAGAGGGCAATGTTTGCTGACCTGCAGATGGACACGTTCCAAGAGTTCTTGCAGTGTTTTAGGCTTGTTCCTTTTGCTTCCTCTATGCGGTTTTATCTTCCTGGGTGCAGTTTCCTCTTCCATAATAATATCCACATAAATGAACTTAAAGTTTCCTACTTTGTTGTTCAGCATGCCTGTCCATATCCCCATGGGCGTTTTACAGATGATATCTATAATGTCTCCTTTCTAGAACAACAGAAATAAACACACCACTGCTTAACTCCTGGTTTATGTGACATTTCCTCTGTAGACCAAAATGCACACAGGCAGCACAGAATCTTAACTAGGCATTGTGAAGTAGCTTTTTAAAATTATCTGCATGCGGTTTTTTTGCTTTTATAAAATCCCAGCAAAGTGTTACAGGAAATAGAGCTAGTCCTTATCTCCAGAGCTCTGTGAAGGAGAAGAGAGCATAAGCAACACCTTTCAACCTTTTGTGCTCCACTTTGTTCCTGAAAAGGCATAGCATTGCATCCAGAAAGCAACTTTTGCCATCAATAATGGGCATAGCTTTGGCAAAAAGCAGGGGAGCACAGTGAGGTCACTTTCCAAATGCTTTACGCAGTTACTCACCTAGTTCTTTTACCCTAATCCACTTATGCAATTATCTTAATATCCACTGTCCCAGGGATCTTCTAAAACTAATAGCTGAAGTAGATGAAAGATGGACTCTTACCCATTTTTTGGTAAGAAACACCAGCTACTTTTCTCAAAGGCAATAAAGAACATTTAACTCTCTAAATATCTTAATATCTTCATGAGAATGCTTCCCAAAGGACTGAAAATGAGTGAGAAAATAAGGAAAATACCTCAGCAGACAGACCTAAAAGCTTCAGTTCTCCAAGTTTGTTCATGCACTCAAAAAGGCAAGGGAAAAAGATGAGTAACAATATGGCAACTTAAGAAAGGCTTGTTCCTAAAAGTGTTCACACCAAGATGTGGGAATTGGATTGTCCTGAAAGAAAGGCCATGGGCATGTGTGGAAGTGGAGGGCATGTGGTGAAAACTGCAATTATTCACTGAGCAATTGTTGTAATATAGGCCTGAGAGGAAAAGAAGACTGCAGTGAGATATGAATGAGGATCTGGATGAGAAGAGGCTATGAAGAAGAGAAAAAGATGTTGAAGTGTGGATGCAGTCTTGGCAGGAAGGTGTTTACAGAGAGAAAAGAAAGTTGTTCAGATTACATAGCTGTGCACAGTTTGAACAATAATATTACTGATCGTATCTGTGCACGGATGAAGAAGAAAAAAGCTGGATCTTCTTAGTACTGTTCATGTATCTGGATCTCCTTTTTCTCACTCCCTCATTCTGGACACCTCTGCCATGATATAAGAGCCAGAGAAAATCCATAATTCAAAAGTATGCTTAAATGAAGGCCTAGTGGAAAGATGGGCTGTTTGCATTAAAATCAATGAGTACCACCACGATTTTGAGACGTCCTAGCTGGGGAAGAAACTTCACATCCCGTGAGACTCATGTTTTTCTTCCTCCAGATCTCCTAGTGTGTAGGGAGCAACATGAATTTTACCCAAGGAAAGCCATGGTGAGGGGGTGCCTGCTGAACCTATGCCTTAAAAACGTGCAGTCAGCACTCAGTCATTATAGAAGCTAAGCAGAAGCAGATCTGTTCTGCTTTTAGAGTGGTACATGTGTTTACCAGTTAAAAATGTTTTTGTTAACGTGTTCTCAGACATAAAACCTGCATCTCCGATGTTCTCACCAGAAAAGGAGAAATCCTGATGGTTGTCTTACCTTAATTTTCAGAGAGTCCGTGTCATAAGGACTTGGTGTGAAGTCAGTGTGCACTTTGGCTCGGCCGCAGAATGGCCCACTGTAAGGGACTTCATCATCAAACCGGAGGCTATCCCTGTTGCTTGTTCCATCAGAGCAGCTGGTCACCCCACCTTAAAGAGATTCAAGTGGAAATTGAGATCTCCTGCACTAACTGTGCAGACATTCCATTCTGTATGGCAGCAGAGAGGGAGGTTTTTAAAGGCACAGAATTAAAAAGAACATACTTCACATGGTTTTGACACATTCCAGGCAAAATACATGCAAAAAACCATACTGTAAGAGACTAGTTGGAGATCATTCATTAACATCTTCCATCCAATAATCTTTTTCTGGTGATGATACTAATAGATTACACATTTTACACACACAGACTTTTAAAAATATCACTCTGCAGATAAATATCATGTACTCTAAATTTGCAATTTAGGGAATTAATTCTGCTGAACTTCTCCTGTTTATTGAGAGGAATGAAAACAAGTAGTGTAGAAGTTATTTTATTTCACTACAGAGTGAGCTAAAGCACCAAAGGAACCTGCATTGCAGAGGAAAATTTTAATCTTATCAACATTTCTGCCCGTCATTTTATCCAAGTTGAGCAATAAAATATCAGCATAGTAATTCAAGCAAATTTGAGCAAGCTCTGCAATATCCCATCCAAATATGTTTTTAGATAAGAGCAGCAGTGTGTTGGAAGTAAACTCTCATATACAATTTTCACAAATCACATCATATAAAATGATCATAAAAATGGTTTTGTCTGAAGTGATTGCTTAAGTGTACAGCTCTGTCTCAGGGCCAGATAAAAGACTAAGTGCAAATGGTTGGGACTGCAACTCAGGGCTCACGTGAAGCCTGCAGCGATGGCATAGCAATGTCACCATGGACTGCTGTAACTTGCTGCCCAATGACTGTCCACATTTGAGCAATGGATAGACTGGTGGAGGTGAACTCCACTTCTCATCAGAAGTTCCAACAGCTCTGTTGGGGCACAGGATTTAGTGGATTTGCAGAGAAGCAGATTGTGTCAACATCATGATCTGAAGCCACCAGCTCAGGCTCTCATCACTCTTCAACTCAGACTATTTCTCACACTGTCTGTCTCACATCTTCAGAGTGAAGAATGAACTCGTAGACGCTACTGTTAGAGAAAATGCTTCTGTGGCTACACTCAGGATTTGTAACTCTGTGGGTGCCAGCACTCCAGCAGTGCTAGCCCTCAAAAACATTCCTGGCATACATACCTGTATCATTCCCTATAATATATTCCATGTAATTAAAAAAAAAAATAATAATAATAATAATATCTCCATTCTTAAAAACACTCAGTTTATTTCAGGAATTTCTTCCTTACCCATTTGATCAGATTATACTTTTGTCTGCCAGACTGAAGAGTGCACTAGTATCACATTTTTAATCACTGGCTCTTATATCTCAGAATTCATAAATAACCATATTGAAACTGTGACTGACTAAGAAGTCTGGATATCTTGTACTTACTGGATGAGCTCTGGCCACTGTTCAGACTATAGAGACTTTCCATAGAGTCACTGGCTTTCAGGGAGACCTTCTCAGTGTGTATTCCACCACCAGGATCACTGTCATCTTTTCCTTCTTCATTCTTTAACAAAAAGAATCAGTTGTTAACCACCAAGAGATGTATTTTAGAAAATTTTATTTTACTTTTCAATCGTCACTGCACTTGAGGATTTAATCATCATTACGTTTTATTAAGAACCATTTTATTAAGAAGTTGATGTCTGGATATCTATCCAGTACTGATCTATCCAGAATCAAGGATGCCCAGTACCAGCACTTGTCTCTTCTCTACCCCATTCAATTTCATTTCTGTTCAAGCAATTCTCCATCTCAGCAGATGCAGTATATGACAGCAGCACAAAGGCTTATAATGAGTAATTTACAGGTAGACAGATAAGATGGTTTTTCTAATTGTCTCTGAAGAAGAAGTATAAAGATTAATTCTGCAAGCTCATAATGAAGGGCAAGCTGAGACATCTATGGATTGCGTGGAACTTCTGAAAATCGTGCGCACTTAGAGGTGTGCTGGCACCTGAGCAAGGGCATTTCAGAGACAGTCTGCACGCACATACAGCATCAGTGTTTGCACCATGCTCCCTACCTTGCTCAACCTATACACTTGCCTCAAAACCCAGGGCATTCCAGAATTAACAGATGCGTGTTTCTCTTACAAAATCTAATGATGTATGAAATTGGTCCCCGGAGTTCGTAACATTAAATCACGCTTCAGAAATCACAGCTTATACACTTAAGGAATTTAAAACAAGAAGGTCTGTTTTTCAATCGCAGCTGAGTTAGGGATGATGTAACAGCTAAGTGAAATAATAATGAGCTTTCAAAAGTAGGACGTGCTTTAGCAGATTGCATCACATTGTCAACATCCGTAATATCTTCACGCAACTGAAAGATCATGCAGTACTTAAAATGTTACATCATACTCGAAACATGTTAAACATTCATCAGTTCACTGATGGAGTCCTTTTGCATGGAGTCAAGCAGGTATGAAGAAGAGACAGGTGCAGGTACATACAAGGCATAGCACTAAAATGAAAGACTAATGTTTTTCAGCAAGGGCAGTGTTTGTTACACCAATCATCGGCACAAGCCATCGATTAATCAGTGGACCAGTATTGATTGCCACCGTCTACTGCAGGAATGAAGATCACAGTAGATGTGTGTCCGGCCATACAATTCATTGAATTCCTGTCATGTGAATAGTTGCTGTAAATGCCCACAAGTTAAATGTCACAATTCTAATTTTTCTTTTCTATACTATAAAATTCATGCGCTGCACCCTGCAGAATTTTAGAAAACAAACAAACAAAAAAAACCAACAACTAAGCAAATGAATTGCGAACCCTTGTCTTTGACCTCTAAAACTGCCTAACAATATCCTGTTCAACACTTTGTATTTTTCAATTTCTGAAGTTTTTTGCTTGCTTTCCCTTGTTATTTGATGTTGACACATGTATGAGATAGGACACAGATCAGCTAGATTTTTTAGGGACATTTCATTTTTCCTTATGTGCTTCAAAATTCAGAACTGAAAGACACAAGATATGTGTGAAATAGACAATGTTTTTATGTTTAATGAAGATAGCTTCACTTGGATTAAATAAGGAAAAAGCAGATAAGTCAAATGAGTTGTCATGCTGTAGGATGCTGGCTGACCTCTATAAAATGGACTTTGGAAAAAAAAACAAAACTGTATTTGAAGATTAATTCTCCTAATGAAATGTTTTGTACAGGTTGAGTATCAGACTGACAACTAAGTTCATCCAGTATTTCCCTGTTTCCATATTAAGAGATTTTTTTTGTGCTTACACAAATGTTCCATGATGACAAAGCAAAATTCAATGATATAAAAATCCTTTGTCTAACTTGATTCTTACCATGTGATGCTGTAATGGTATCTGTGCATGTGTTTGTACGTGAGCATGCATGGGGAAGGAAAGCTATATACTAAAAGCTATTTTAATTCAATACTTGTGACAATGTTTTCATGGAGTCTCATGATTGATACCTGCCTGAAGCATAAAAAAGTAAAATCCACATAACATTTTCATTTTGTGTGTATTATTAAGGATTCTTAAGCTGTAATTACCATCTCCTCAGAGAGTGCCTTGATGTACTTTTTACCCATCTTTTTCTTCATGGTAAGGGAAATGGCTCTCATCTTCTTCCCCAAGCTTCTTCCGTTATACGCTGCTTTGGTTTGTGCTGCATCTCCAATATCACTTACAGTCTCCAACTCAGACACCTGATTTGAAGTACAAATGTATGCAACATACCATGAAAATAAAATTTGGCACAGAAAAACATGAATGACAGAAAAAATTTAAGGACACCAATGCAATTAAGATGACAAAAGTCAATCACAGCCATTTTATTGGGGAATACTAAAACAAGCTTGCAGCATACCACTGTACTGTGAATGTCAGAAAGAAAATACATTTTATGCTAGGAAATGTTGTTTCCTTTTGCTTATTGTCTTTCATCCAAACAATTGTGGGGATTTATGCAGGTTGATTAAAACAAAAACGACACATTTGTGGGCTGCATCCAGGTTAATTTGGGAATACACCAGACTGAAAAGCACTTTTGCCTTTTTGAAAAGTTGCTTCTGATATTCACACTGAATCAGCAATGTTAAAAAGTGATTCTCATGCTCATTTTGGCAAGAACTCAATCATCCAGACAGATCTAGGTACACCAGCAAAGTTTTCCCAGTGTAAAATTCACGCAGTGGTTACCCAAAGTTTTTGTACAGTCTTCATGGGGGGGGAAAGAGAACTGAAGAAAGAAAAATTTTGTTTGATACAGACCTCAGCTGAATCATCTGTCTTTGATACTGAGTGATATCTGAAACGGTCAAAGCTTCCAAAACTACTGGTGCGCTGTAAAGAAAAGAAGACAAACCTTGACTCACTGTTGGTAATTTGCTCTGTTATGAAGACTTAAATATTACCTCCAAGTCACTGCTAAAAATTCCTCCTAAGTCAGTCAACCATGAGCTGCTACATCCAGCAGAAACAAACTAGGAGGTGACTGCAGGGGAAAGAATTATGTCTTTACTGCTGGAAGCAGAAAAATGAATGAGAGGAACAATACTACTTCAAATACAAATTAGATAATGGGTGCGATTTGTGTTCTTTTTATCCATTCCATATTAATTATATGCAGATATTTATGAGAAGCCTCTGGGTTAGATAGCTGTCTGTGAGCTCAGAAAAAATCCCTACTTGCGTAAGTACAAGAGGAGCCATACAGCTGGTTATGGTGGTGGAAACCATTGTTAAAGTTTATGGTTGTGGCTGGGAAGCATGTCCAGGCTTCTTTACCAACAGGAATTGGCAAGGACTGCTAAGTAGCAGGAATGTGTTTTGGCCAAAAGACATGCTGTGGGAGAGCAGCAGAATAATCGGGCCACACACTTTTGTTGCTGATATGTCAGAAGTCCATTTAAGTGTGCCCCTAATAATAGCCAGAATTTACCAACTACACAGTGTTTTAATGGCTTGTTTTTACATCTTCACTAATAGTCAAAGCTAAATCTAGAATGAATCCATTTTTTAAAACTCTTCACTCTTGCATACTAAATGAACAGCTTTTAATAGAGCATCAGATTTCTCGAAGAGGCTTTACTATCCTATAATATGCAATATTGTTTCTGTTTATTTCTGAACACTCAAAATGCCTTCTAGGGGTAAAAACTACACAGTAATACACAAACAGACTGTATCTTGAAAGATTTAGTTAAGTGGTTTCAGACTGTGGTTTCAGACTTTCCTGTAAGGAAGGGACCTTTTTGAGCTGACATGCAAGTTACAATTTCAGCTTCTGGCAGCTCTGTGAGTGCCAGCTCTGCCCACAGACACCAAGCTGCTGTTTGCTGCTCTGCCTCCTGACACTCTCTTTTCTGGCAGCAGTTAGTCCTCTGAGGGACTCATCGGTAACGCTGTCATACTCCCAATGCCGTGCAGGGTGATGAGCTGGCATTCAGGCTTCACAACTGTGGTCTTAAGGAAGGAGTTCATCCAAATGATACCGGCAACGCAGAGCACACGCGTACCTCCCCTGGGTATTTCCAGCCAGGAAGGACTCCATCTTATTCTGTCCCTGCTCATAAATCACAGGGTTACTGGCCATATTAGCTTCTTTATCGCTTACACACAGTCACTTTTAAACTAAAAATAGTTACCAGAGGGGAAAAACAATAAGATGAAGAAAAGCTATGGGAAGCCAAGTGAGAATATTTTGTCTCTGTTAGAGAGGAAAAAATTTGCCTCCCCTGAAGCACAGCTGAAAGTAAAAAATCCTCACTGTTGCCATTTGAACATAGCAAGGGCAGAGAACCGAGCACAATAGGAGAGGATCCACATTTTGGGTCCACGTTTCAACCACTGGAGTTTAAGAGAAAAAGAAATAATACCTTACATCTCTTTTTTTCATGGTAGGGGTTTTTTTTGTTTGTTTGTTTGTTTGTTTTGTTTTTTTCACTAACATTTCTGGGGCCAATTTGACCTGGAAAATATTTCAAGCCAAAGGTTATTTGTAGATGCTGACCCAGATTTGTGAATATTTTTGGACAAATGGCATTTATTATTCACTGGAGTGGAGAAAAAAAAAGAAAAAAGAAAAAGGAAAACCACACAGCTCTCCTCTTAATTGATTGCAATTTCCCAAGGAATCTCTGCTAGCTAAACACCGTGGTTTGTTTGTTTGTTTTTACCCCATGAAATTGAAAAGGGCAATTTAGACTGTACACCTTAATTTCATCTAAAATTTCCATGTAGAACTTTACTATTCACTAGATTAACAATATCCTGTGACAAGGGGGTTAGCTCAATAGTATGATATGAAAACACAGCCCCAGGGATTATGGTTCTATTAGACAGGATTAACACCTTTCACTGGCTTGTCAACCCAGCCAAATGTGCCCTGAAGCACGAAGCAAGAGGCTGGGATTCACAGCAATATTGGGGAAGTATAAAATCGTCTCTCTCACACAGTGATCTCTAAACATACACTGACCTTTCTGTTGCATTCAATCACTTGAAGATGTCTAGTAGGAATAACTGTATATTAAAGTGCAGATGTGCTGCAAATACTTTAAAAGGAACAAGAGGGAAAACATTGTTTATTGTTGATCTTACCTATAAACAGCCTGAGCACAGGGAAATCAGTTATTCTTTTTTTGACCCTTGAAACAACCTTATATCCTACACGGGCAGAAGCCTGGGGCTATTTTGTAGAATACTTCAGTGTTGCTTCATCCCTATTAAATATTAATAAGGGTTACGGGATGATTTCCACTCTTCTAGATAATGGTCTCATTGCACTGGAGAGTACGAAATAGGGCTGCTTCAGCACTTCTCCATACTAACTTTTTCCATTAAGTAATCAATAGCTACCACCTTTTAAAAATGTATTCAACCCCATTATACTGATAACAAAAGGCTGATTTAGAAGCTATGGGCTGCTGGGGAGCAGGACAGTGACTTTCAGTAGTTTCAGTCACTGCATTAATGTCAGGGAACACCAACCCTGTGAAGATACCACCAGGCCTTATTTCCAATTGCAGGGAAGCTTTTAACGTAAATGCAAAGCTACGAGGAGAAAATATGCATTGACTTTTGATACCACTGTTCTTCATCCTATAAGATCAATATTGACTTAACTGGCTGGATTCATGGAAGATCTACCAATGGATACATTAAGCAAATACAAATTTGCCTAGTAAAATCTAATGGAGACACAGCCAGGGACCTGTTGAAGGAACATATTTATTTTTCCACACAATGACCAATCAACTAATTTCTAGAAGCCAAAGCTCTAATCCTTATCCTTGTCTCTCTGGTATATTTTGTTAGCATAATGAAAAATGTCAAAGGTGTTTCAATATTTCAAATCAGTCTTCTGTCCTTTCCAATATATTTACTTCTCTGATATCCAGGAACTTTAGATAATAATTTTAAAAGAGGTAAACAGCATCTAATAAGAGGTAAATGGCATCTAATTGCTGTTGATTTTAATTTGGACAGTCTGCAGTTTGTGATCTGTTTTCTCTGCAAATAGTTAATAATTTTCCCCAGAAAACAGTACAGTATACAAATAGAAAAGCAGCAGCAAGAAGAGGTTGTGAGAACCATCTCTTCAAATTATAAAACATTCAAGGCCAGGCAGGATGGGGCTCCGAGCAACCTGATCTAGCTGTAGGTGTCCCTATTCATTGCAGTGGAATTGAACTAGGTGACCTTTAAGGGTCCCTTCCAACTCAAACAATTCTGTGATTCTATGATTCTGTGAATGCATCCTTCCACTGTAGAGCAAATCATCACAGAAGTCAGGTAGTTCTTGTCAAAGGACAACTTTCAAACCAAAACTGACAGAAGACATCATGCTAAGTAATCATTAGGGGTAATATTCATCTCATATTTTCCTTTGGACAATTTACACTGCTCAGAAATCTGGTTCCCTGCTGTGAGAAATTCTGGCTCGTTACTTTTTTGCTTCAAGTCCCACTGAAAATAGAATTTAAGTTCAGCATGATGCGATGGTTTTGTATTGACCCTCTTACATGAATAAGTCTCTTCAGATTCCTGCAAACGTTTTCATTTTTAGTTTCCATTCATCCCTAGACTACTCAGAACATGTAAGCTGTAAAGGGGCAAAAGCAGTTGCTGAGAGTAACGGAGACTTCAGCCTGTTGCAAGTTTCCTCACCTGCCTCAAACACCTGTGTTCTTCCCTCTCTGCTCAGAAGGAGACACAGCAGCTCCCAGGAGGACAATCACTTGCTTCTTGGATCAATGAAGATAAGTGGAGCTCAGGATATGATTCAATTCACCTGTTCCCTCATGCTACTAGTCCCTTCAGAACCAGGGGACTATGCTGGGAATGAAATTAAGAGTCATCAACATAGGGGTGAATATAATCACTATACTACCTCATCTTACTTCTGTCACAGATAATCAATGAAAATTATCTCCTACATTCCCTGAAGGCAAGGATGTAAATTTCTGCTTTCAGGATGTTCTAAAGAAAAAGAAAAAAAAAACCCAACACAACAAAACACAAACCACCATCACGAGCCCTTCTCACTTCTTTATAGAGAATGGGAATTTGCATACAAGATTTAGTAACTCAGAAGTGTAATAAAGAAGTAAAAAAAAGAGACATTATGACCCCTCTACCTCAGACATTTTTCCTATTTACACATTAGTTACACATATAGAACATCTGACCACTAACCAGGCTATTAATATAACTTTATAGTCAACACGAAACATGGCCTAAACCTTGTACTTGGCCAGTCAAAAGCAATAAAAAAGATACAGCTTGTTCCTGCTAACTCAAATAGGGCAATCTACTGAAATGGCATTTTTAACTGGCTTAAAAACGACTCCATAAAAGACTCTGGTTGTTAATGTGATCTGGTATTCTGCTCCTGCAGAGGTGGGGAGCAAAGAGAGCAGAGCGGTTTTAGAGCAAGGCTGCTACCTTGGAACTTCAGAGCAAAAATCCTAATTTTAATGGCAGAAAACGACTGGAAAATAAAAGCTGTATAAAACAACAAATCAATCGTACTTAATGCTCTCCCAGCATTTCACATTGGAAGTAAACACCAAGCAGCTGTTTTATCAAGACCTCTGATGGGTGCTTGTCCTCTCCAGCCTGCACTGACAGCGCACCACAGCTGGTGATCCATTTGTCAGGGCTTCTACCCAAACACCAGCTCTCCAGTGATATCAGAGGCCGGGTCCTGAGGATGTGGGTATGGGACACAGAGCTGGGGCTGAGCTGCTGTTCATGAGGGTGAACAAGAGTGCAGCAGTTCACAGGGTCGGCTCTGTCCTTGTAAGTTTTCCTTGGGAAGGGGCAAGATGCACGGAGAG